TGTGCCCAGAAACACATCGGCAACCAGTGGAACTGCTGTAACAGGAGGGTTGTGTGATCTCTGTAACAAGCCCAAGTCACCACTTAATGCTGCTGCAGTTTGGGTCCATTGATGTTTCCTGATACTTTCCACAGGTAGCTACATAGAGCGCACATCAGAGAAACCCAGCTAGGAGGTCACTAAGGCCCATGTCATTGTTGCTAGATCAGACCTCTCCAGGAATGGGTACAGCAGTTTTAATTGTGCAAAGGCAGTCCTGGCTACCACCAAAACTAATTATTCTCCTGTAATTATTATTAAGCAGAACAGTTAACTAAAAATCTCATTGTGCGACTTACTCATTTTCTCATTCTAAACAATGCACTAGATGTTTTATTAAAATTTATTGAGATAAGTGTTGTTAAAGTGGGGGAATGCACCAGAGGAAATGATCCCTCCCACCTGTTGAATTCTCTTGGTAGAGAGGGGGCAGGGAGACCTGACCTCCCCAGTGCAGGGTTGGCCACATTAGCTTGCCAAGACAGGAGCTTAAATTTCATCAGAAGGGTTTGTTTTGAATAATGCAATCGGAACATGATGGCTTTGAGCTGTTAGAAGTCCCTTTAACCAGGCTTCTGGTCTTTCTCTCTTGTTCTGACCAAGGGTGGGAGGAGCAGTTCCTGATTCTGACCACTTCTGCATTTGAAAAAGGGCAGAAATTTGCTAAAATTGGGATCTTTCTTTTTAAACTTCTGTTTCTCTCTCAAACACTCTTTAAACGTCACAGTGGCTGTAGTTATGCTTCGCCCTATCTTTTTGTTTTAACCTGTTTTGCAGAAAGTGAGTCCAACAGCATGACCCAGGATGATTGTAAAAAGGAAAAAATGGAGCTCCACACCAAGTACCTGCAGCTTCGTAATATGAAACAGGTGAATTTGGAAGAAGTGTTGTGTGGTCATCTAAGTTGTGGGACAGACTGGTGTGTGTGTGTATTGTGGTTTATAGATGGATGGATAGATAGATAAATAGATATTTGGATCCTTCAAAAGTCTCTTCTGCAACTCCCAGCCTGGACATTTTCTTACAAAAACACTGACTTTTAAATTGAAGCAGCTCCATCCTACCCTCTAGTGGTCAAAGATGTGTTTCAGTTTTTAAAGAAAGATATGGAGAGGGTGCTGGGAAACCTCCCAGTGTGGCAGATGGATTGGGCCCAGAATATTATAAAACTTTAAAAATTTCTTATTCCAAAATTAAAAGAATTATATAATGGTATATTAAAAGTAGAAGAAATCCCTCAGTCTTGCAAAGAATCATTAATAGTTTTAATTTTAAAACCAGACAAAAACCCTATAAATATGGAGTCTTATACACCAGTAAATCTAAATCAAGATGCTATTTACAGCAGTTTTGGTGGCAAGATTAAACAAGTTTATAAGGAAATATATCCAGAAAGATCAAAATAGTTTTATACAAGGTAGACAGACGTCGGATACAATGCTTAACTTGATGTATTTAGCGAAAGAATCAAAACGCAAGACAGGTGTAATATCCCTAGATATTTTTAAAGCTTTTGATTCAGTTGAATGGGATGCATTAAAAATATTGCTTAAAGAGCAGTCCTACTGTACTGTGAAATTTCAAATGCTACTCATAGGAATTGATTTTAACAAGGCAGGTTGCTGTGTTGCTTTAAAAAAACAACTAGCCCAAACCTATGGTTTCATTATCACCAATTCCTTTTAGGATGTGCTACACAAGATCATTGCTTTGTTGAATGTGGTTGACAACACTCAGAACGCTTTGATCAATGAGGAACTGGTGGAGTGGAAGCACCGGCAGCAGATTGCTTGCATTGGAGGCCCCCCCAACGCATGCTTGGACCAACTCCAAAATTGGTGGGTCTCCAAGCATGATTCGTATCAATTCTAATCCTGTGCCGTCGTGTATATTCTGACTTCCCGGGTTTTCTAGGTAGAAAGTACACAGAAGTGGTTTGCCGTTCCCTTCTTCTGGGGCCATCCTGGGACTCTGCAGCTTTGCATGATGTTTC